TTTAGCGTTACTATAGCTGGTGGTTTCGAACTCTCTTTTTATTATAGAGGTGCCTTATAGGTGAGTCGCTTTTGTTAAGCTTTCTCCCTAGCTTTGTTATTTTTTTTTTAATATTTTGCTTTTTCCTGGCTATAAACCTTATAGGCGTCCTAGGTATATTTTTTTAGGTCGTTCTCCCCTAGTACACATTCTTTAGGCTATGCTAGATCTAATTTAAATATAGCAATCCCCTGGGGTTGCTATGAATAATTACTAGTTGTCCTATTTTGTTCTTCTTATATAGTTAATCTATTGGTTTCCTAGCAATTCGTTATAGGAACTAGTTGTTCCGGATTTTTTTTATTATATATTCTATATATTAATATACTATATACGAGATTTATAAGATCTGTTTATATTTTAGATCTTTAGGTAGGAGTATTTTTTTCTTTTATTATGGTTTTATTATATAAGTAGTTTCGCGAGATATACCCTGCTATATATTATAATATTTTGGAAGTGTTAGTTCTTATCCCTATAATTAGTAGGTGGTCCTTTATTCGCTGTATTTCCTAAAGTTAGTTAGGTAGTATATAGTTGGGTATCGTTTAGAGAGTAGTAAAGTCTATTTTTTTAACTTTTTTTTCTTTTCGTTTTTTATCGGTGGGGAGAGTGTCTTTCTATTGTATAGATTTAGCTACTAAGCTTTTAATTAAATTAAACTCAGTTTAGTGCCTATACTAGTTATATATATAGTTTATGTTTTTAGGATATGACTTGCTTTCTGGCTAGTTTTTATTCTTAATTTCTGGCGTATTACTTATACGTATTATTACGATCTGTCGCGTATTGTTTTTGGCTATTAACGCTTGCCTTTCTTTAGGTACTCTTCCGTTTTTGCGTTCCTTTTGGGGTTTAGGGCATTTTTGTATAGAATGTCCTATTTATTAATAATTAAAACATTTGATTTGCTTAAGGTCTTTTTTTATGGTATCTATTTCTATTAGTCCTGGGTGTGTTCCTGTAGCAGTGGATTGATTTTTTTGTGCCTTCTTGGTGTTGGCTATATATATGGCTCCTTTTCTTCGTTTCTGTATACGTTTTTTATACAGTTGATTATCGATCTTAATTACTATTGCGATATACTTGTGTAATTTTTTAGGTTGTTTGATTTAGAATAGTTTGTTTTAGATATCGTTTTTTAGTTCTTTATAAAATATAGATATTAGGTTGTTTTTATTATTTTATATTATAAGTGCAAGCGTTTTTTTAAATTTAGTAATATATTTACTAGCTAACCTAGTTTATTATAGGTCTAGCAGCCTTTGTTCTGTTTGTCTCTCCGCTTCTGGATTACTATATATATCTATAAAAGCTTTCTCGAATCCTTTTATATTAGCAAATGCTTTTTTAGTATCCTTTAACTAATCTTTTTCCTTGTTTTTAATAAATTCTTTTATTTTGGGTTTAAACCACTCTAATGCTTCTCTAGTAAGGAATCTTACGATATAAAGGATCTTTTCTCCTTCTGTAAGAAAGTCCTTTTCAAAGTATTATATATAGGCCTTGGTTTAGGTTAGGAATCCTTTTAACTAGTTTTATTTTTTGTTAAATATAGATAGTTGAATTAGCTTGTAACGCTTTAGCTTAGGTATTATAAGTAGTTGGTTCTTGAGCTGTTTATTAGTTTCGTTTAACTGGGTAATTCTTCTGTACAACTGGTCGATGATCTTTAGAACTTATTCCTAAGTTATATTGGGTGTCTAGGCTTACGTAACTATTATGTCCTATTGCTCAGCTTACTTTGTAGCTTAACTAAACAAGACTATTTAAAATGTAACAACTGCTCTATCTATAATACTAAGTATAGGGTAGAATAGGGGTCTTAGTAGGTTTATATTCCTAAGGATAAGGGCTAAGCTTATAACAAAGGATCGCTAAGCAATATAAAGTATCGTTCACTAAATCATTAAGAGATTACTCCCATTCTAAGAACTAATAGTATGCTTAGATTAAATAGTAAAGTAAGGAAAGACTAGATACATAGGAATGCCATAGAGGCTATATAGTATTTCCTTCCTTTACATACTTGCTTGTCTCTGTTGTTTCCACAGAGATGTGTCACGTGACCTTGAATACCCCTGTATCCGATATTCACGTATCCGTGTCTGCCTTGCATGACCCCTCGTCATGTGGCTGCGCTGGGTCTCTCCAACTGGCCTGTCCTACAGTTGGTTCGTAACACTGGGCAGTATGGCAAGCAGTGTGGCAAGCAGTATAACAGGGCCGTTAGGTCGTTGACTTCGATATAGTATCCAGCCTTTGTAATAGTATCCAGCTTTCGATATGGTCTCCCGATTAACATTAAAACTAGCGTTGTTATTATAGTAGCCTGGATATACTAGCTAGTATAATATCCGCGGCTGGACATCATATCTCTATTTCGACATGGTTACAGACACCATAACTAGTCTAACATAGTCACAGACATGCTTACCAGATACCCCCCCGGGGCGCTAAGGTAGGTTCAGGTCTCAACCTTGAGCTGGAACCTTAGCGGGATTAACGGGCATGGAATCCTACCTCGTCGCCACCACTAATAGGTATTTGTCTTGCTCACATAAAATACAGACACAATATATCATCATTGCATTCTCGGCCGCCAAGCGTTGCGGAATGTCAGCAATGAGACAGACTACTGGGCAGTTACGTCTTTTCATTATTATCCAGGGCCGGTTGGAACAAAACGCAGGGTGGGAACCTGCATGCCAGCACTCTGTTGGGTCCAGCGAACTGAAATTCGCAAAAAAATGCCGGTGCATGTTGCATACTTGTAATACAGCATTTCCAGTCATGATGACCTCGCTGGGGGTCGAACCCAGAATCTCCTGATTGCTCCGAATGAATCAATCGAACTTGAATCACCCTCGTAGTCAGACGCCTTGCCATTGGGCCACGAGGCCGTGGTTGGTTGAGCAAGTCGGGCCGAGATTGGCTATAAGAAATGGGAGAGGCAATGGAGGAGAGGAATCGAGCAGTCGAATGAAATATCTCACTACCTACCTATGTGGGCGTAATTGACTCAGTGCTAGCCCAGCGAGCAGTCGTTTTTCGCACCCTGCTTTCCGGGCTAAGAACAAAGTGGGGATGAAGGTCTTTGTACAAATGACCGGGCCATTGCTCAATGTGTCTTGGGCATCTCTTGAAGGCATTTTCATTCACAGTGTTACTTACTACATTAATAAAAACTTCTCCTTTAGTAGGTGCCTGGTATTGATGTATGGTTGCCTCTATATAAACGTATAGGGGATACTAAATATGTGTCATTTTCAAGATGAATATAAAAGGGGGGGGGGGGGGGGGGGGGGGGGGGGTACTTGTTGATTTACCTCCAAAAATTTGATCCAAAAAGATCGTTGTAGTCCTAGCAAGCGGCGACGGTTGGACTACACCTAATCGTAGTTTGCTGATAATGCTGCGGTACTCGTTTTGCGGATTTGATTGAAACTATCCAGGCCAGCGGGCTTCGGCTTTGGCAGTTGCTGCTGCTTCCTGGGATGTCACCTTGCTTGCATCCCGTGTAAGTTTCTAGCCCGCCAGCATTATCAAACCAGTCGAGCCAGTCAGCATCGAACTCATACCAGCCATGCCATTCCTGGTGTCGTAAATCTGGCACCGACAGCTGCTTGCTGGTGTTGGCGGGTAGAGGAGTCACATGGCCCGCATATATATTTTACACCTTCTTGTATTGGCGCAATGTTTTAGTAGTGTGGAATGCTACAGTTAGTTTCCTATGAAACTCTACCCCCCTCAATTTTCAAACACCAATGATTGTAGATAATGAATTACGATGGGATGGAGGTATTAATCCCATTTATGATATTTCTCGCAGGCCAGATATTGTGTGAAGGGACTAGCCCGGAACCAACATTGTGGAAAAGGGGGAGGGACCGTCATTGTCAGCTAAATAGATGCCTTTTCATAACTTCGACACCATGAATGGTGATCCTTGCCTGTATCTAGCCCACATATACCACAAACGATTAATTTACACTGCCACACTCGTTTTGATGGAGAGCTGATATCATATGGCAGGCCTCATTGAGGTTTCCCATGACGCTCTTGGCTCTGCCTCTTACGACAGTCGAATGTCTCGTGGTGTCAAAGTTGGCGTGATGGCCCAGCGGATACCCTGTGGGCTGAGATGTCCTAGGAATTGCCTAGAATGATGGGTTTGCCACGACTAGTGTAGATGCCATCGCCGCTCATGCTCACATTACTGTCGAAGGCCGCAGACCAACCGGCCACCCAACAAGTGTTCTGATTCGCCGACGACCTGGCCTCGGCCATGAGGGTCTACTCTGCTTTTCGGTGAGGGTCGGGGTCGTGATAAGCTGGCAGTGATTCCACGTCAGGAACGTCCGAGGTGGGAAAAGAGGGTGATGCTCTGATGCCGCTCTATCCAGCGGAGAGGGACGGGGACTCCAGACATCATGACCTCCAGTGCATCCACCAGCTCCATAGATATTGCCTTTGCCACGCAAATGCTTGGGTGATAGTCAAGCACCTCACGACTAGACCCAGAGTCCGGAACAAATCTCAGTGGTTGTATGCCACTAGAGGCCTTAGAAGGTCGGGCCCTGTGGCCGCACCATGAGACATGTCTGCAACAGGAATTCATGTTAGAGCGCCCGTATCCAATAAACCACAGTCTTTTGGTAGTACCTGGTGTTTTATCATACTCGAGGCAATGCATGCACATGAGATACGAACTCAAATCGTGTCACACGATCATCGAAGGTCGCATATGAAGTAGGCTTGACGCTTGAGAAGGCCTGCTAGAAGCATTTGGTTTACTACTAGGTAGGTAGACTTGTAGGGGAAATGTCTGATGTACGCGCCGGCGTGTAAGTTGCTCCTGGCCCGCCTGGTTGCTGCTACACCACAGTAGGTGAAAATGATCACCTGACGGGTCCGATAGATTATTACTGTTTCGGGCTTCGGGTGGAATTCAGATCGCAGTCTAGTGATCCCTCTCCACCAACCTATCGGGAATATATTTATAAGTTTTGGCGCTCGGGCGCTAATGGCTGGGATGCCAATCGAAACGCCAAAAGGGAGACACCACCTGCATGGCGGTAGCAGAACCGTAGGTAGCATGCATAACATATGTTCATTACCATCAACGAGGAAATCCCTTCCCCTGCCGCGCGTGAAGGATGTGCCAGTGCCACCAAGTTGCAATTTGGTAGGTAATGGCTGCCAAAGGTACGTGCTTCACGTACCCAAGTGGCAGATCGTGGAATGGTACCTCGGAGGTAGTAGCTAACCCGCATGGGCTAGTGCACGGGGAGGTGCGCAAAGTGTATGCAGAGAGGAGCCAAGAAGCAGCAAATGACGTTTTGATTGGCCTGACGCGTGGCCAGGATCTAACAACAACCCAACGCGCCAGAAAACGGCCGACCCCCCCTCTCGAATTCCCCAGCCAGTACTACCAGCCAATCTGGAGTCACGCTACGCGCCGGTCTCCCCCGTCCAATCGCTTGCTACCCACCTCATCTATCTCAGGCAGTTGCACCCTCGTACGAGCTGCATCCATCTCAGTCGCACATCGCACGTCGCAATCGCACCACGAGCAGCAGCTACTACCTACGCAACAAGTGAAGATAGCACCGTATCTCCCGACTACAGGCAGCGCAGTAGAGGGACGAAAAGCGCAAGGGACAGAGATCGTATCGAAGACCGGAAGTGGGCGCAGTTCGGGACCTAGCACAAATCGTCGATTGAAATCTTGAACGCCTAAAATATTCTCCTAGGTCACTAATTCACACCTTCTGGATTCCTGCCCTTTTGGTCGTCCGGCGTGAACGGCTCGCCATATCCCTACTTGTCTATGAGACTTGCAGCTTCCGGGGATCATATCATCCGTTCATCTCATTTCGGTTCTCGAGAGCACGTACCAAGATCGCCGGGTTGCTCCCCACCTCACCTGCCTCGCCTGCCTCTCTCTTAAGGGTTGACAACCTTAGCATTGAACGCCCGAATGAGGGAGTGAGTGCGATCTCCAGGGCTGCTCTGTCTGAACATCTATGCGATCTATGCGCAGGCCAAGCGCAATACACGAGCTCGGCCCTGACCTGAACTGAACTGCTCGTGGCTACCTAAGTAGGCTAGGTACGAGTACTCGTAGGCAGCACGCACGCAGCAGACGCTATCCAACTAGACGGTTTTACCATCGTATGCCGCCCTGTTCAGCTCCACCACTTCGCACGACGTGCGCCAGATCCCTGCGCGCTACTGCTCAGGCGCCCACCTCGATATCTGGCTTACCGTCATCGTGTCAGCCCAGAGCATTCTGGGCCAATCCTCGGGCGTACTCGCCTCTTCTGCCGGGAACGCGGGATCCACCTGGTCCCACGGCGACCCACCCCTGCACTGGGCTCCACTGCAGCTCCACTGATGAGTTGGCGCACTAAGCCTTACTTGGAATTATAACTCGCACACACCCAGCTGCCAGGCTCGCCAGGCCCCCCCATCCTGCCCCCCCGTTCCATTCCCTCCTCCGTCCAACCAACCAACCAACTCACCAACCTACTCGTACACGCCCTGACGCCTTCACGCTTCCATCCTATCCGTCCTCCTAGTTGACTCCCTCCCTGCTGCAGCTGCAGAGACTGGGAATACCCATCCCCATCCGATAACCCACTCTTCCTCTTTAACCTAAACCTGCTTCCGCCTGGCTTGCTCTACTGCGGCACACAATCTATCTGTACGTACCATTCGAGCCATTCGTCGCTCTCCTCCCATCTGCTTGCTGCACTCTCTTCTGCAATCGCAGCTGCATACCCGTCTGCCACGCTTCGTCCCCCAGATCTCGACGATCCATCCGCCTCCCCCCTCCCCTCCATCTCCCAGTTTCTTGTCCTAATCTATCGCCTGTACACCATTCCACCTACATCAGACTGCGTCCCTCATTCAAGACGCCCTCGGGACAAATTTGCAATCATAGCAATCTCTAGTGAATTCGGAAACACCGACTTATTTGTTCAAAGCGTTACTAGCCACACCAGCAGCGCCCTGAGCTCACCCTGGCCTTACGTCTCCACTACTAATCCAAGAACCATCCTCTTCAACCCAGTAAGTCGCTCTTCATTTCACTAACCCAATTCCCGTCACACATCTGGAAGGGGGACCGCCGCGCAGCCTTTACAACAGAAACTGCCCTTGTTATTCAATCTTGTCAACTTGTTAACATTGACACAGACAGACTATATCTGGAACCCTCCATCCGCCGCACTTGTCTTGTCGCCAACCCCTTGGCCAGAATGGCCAGACCGACGCGTTTTGCGGTCTCGAATGAGCCGCTGCACATATTCCAGGACGAATTCCAAGACGAAAACTATGGTAAACCAGCAACCTCAGTCAGCCGAGCCCCGATGCCCACGATGGGAAAGAGTTCATCCCCACGCCGTCCCTTGCAGAACTCGAGCGCCGGGAATCTGGTCTTCAACACCCCCAACACCCACAGAAAGCAACATTCTCCTCACAAGGCCGCTGGTCGATCTTCGAACGCTGCCCTAGCCCCGTCACAGCACCGCAAATTAAATGCGATCAATATATGCCCACCATTGCACGCACAGGGGACCGACTCCATACCAAAGAAACCCTTGATGTCTAGCTTCAAGACGACCAATGCGAGACAGGCAGGCGTGGATAAGGAAAACCAGCATCCCACTCTATACCCGGCACCTCCACCATTCAGCCTCAATGTTGAGGAGTATTATCCCACTCCAACCGGCAAGCGCGCTCTTCTGGAAGCCGCCCCTATTATGGATTCAAGGCCAAACAAAAGAACCAGAGTCCATAGTGCGTCTCTATCGGAACCGGTCGCTTTCCCACCGATCTACGATGACGGGTCGAAGCCAGGCCACAGCTATGCGCAGTTGATTGGCATGGCCATCCT